ATCGAGTGTAACAAAACTTGTGTTACGACCTTTAGCTGCCATTAATGAGAGCAGAAGTCAAAATCTTGTAGTATAAGGACACCACCAACGGCGCTCTTTGCTCATCACAAACTTAATATCTACGCTTTGAAAATTTCAAAAAATTCGCTAGATTTTGCTTTAGAATAAATGTGACCTATTATTTTATAAATCTAGAATGAGCAAGTCAAATTTTTAACGCTATTGAAACGACAACATTAAATTACATCAGTGAAAAAATGTTGGAAAATTGCGACTTGTCTGCTTGAAAAACTTTGACATGTACAAGTTGAAATAAAATAAAATTTAGAAGTAAAAAAATTACCTGAAGTCGCATTACCGAAATTAATGAACTCGTAATGCTTTTAGTCGTAGTAAAAGTGATTGAGGACTAGAAACAGTGATCTCACGAGCTTGCGCAGTTCGCACAGCGCTCGGCTACAACTATCTTCGTTCACCGCCCTCAATGAATCCATTACTGGTTTCGAACAAGCTAATTGCTGCGCGGACAATGACCGCCATTCCCTGGATATTGAAATAGAATATTGTAGGGTTCTTTCGCCCAAGGTAACAAGTTTGTACACCACTTTCCATTCTAAAAAAAAGAAAAAAATTTTTGAAGGAATTCAAAGATTTTGCAAGACTTCTTGAACTCCACTGTTCTGTTCTCACTTTTCTCACGGTCAAACACTCAATTATCTTTCGTCAAATAAAAGTATCTAGTGGTGTCATAGATAAATGATGATGCTTATAACCTCTAGTGATTAACTAGCGTGATTGCCTGACTTCCAAATCTCTCACATTCACCATCGAAAACACAAGCTATATACTAAAAGCTCAAGCACTTTGAGTTTGCTTCCCGAAAGTTGAAGTCTGTACAAATAAGCCCAGTTCCTTTCTCTTCGGAGACAGACAAATAAGGATGAAAATTCACACAGGAATGTCGTAATTCTTGAAAGTAGGCGTTGCTAAAATGCTCCAAAAACAAATTGCTTTTCCATGCTTTTGCTTTTGTTTCGCAGACTAGATCCGAAAAGTGTGCTGCCAAGCGTGAAATTCAAATTGACAAAAAATGTACCCCTGTTTGCCATTACAATTTTTGCTCCAAAATGGACACATGATGTGCATTGTTGAATCGTAGTTTTCAGCTAAGCTGCCAAAATTGTACATGAAAACGAGGGCATCAAAAATGCTTGCCAAGATGGTCTTTTTGACCACAAATCTGCAAAAAATTTGTTGTTTGCTTTTGCTGGAAATATGTTTCTTAAAGTTATTCAAGTTGGGTAATTGCTAAACTCCATCTGCTACTGTGCGCTCCACTGCTTGTGAAACCGAGAAGCAAAGCGTTTTGCAAAAGCTTTGAAAAGTAAGATATTATCTCGATTTTATAATTTGAAAATTATCCGTTAAGTGAAGGTCATTGTCGCCTATCTCAAACTATAGCTTACATTACGAGTATCCACAAATTACGTTGACAATTTTAAATTTGAAATTTCTTCTTTAATCAAAAGAGTTATAATAAAAGTTCAGTGTCATCTGAAAGATCTTTTCCTGTTTCACTCAGCAAATTACACTCTGTTAATCCAATAAAGTTCTGATTCTATTTAACCCATTGACGACAACGCCTAATTTTGCGCGGCGGCGCTGTGGGACGACGCGATTTTGCACAACACTTTCAGTGTGGGAAGGTTTCATGCTTGTTTAAGAAATGCAACATTGTTTTGTAAACAACTATTAACATTTTCTTGAACGACAGAGCCTATAGGTCCTATGAATACAAAAAATTGGAAAAAATGTGCATATGTGGAAGAAATACTAGACCTGCAAATAATACGACTTTGCGAGAGGTGTGGGCCACCGGGGGTCCACATCGTCCGCGGCAGCAAAAAGCGTGTAGGCCACCGGTGGTCCACATCGTCGTCAATGGGTTAAAATGGATTTGAGAGAAGATATCGACTTGCAAGGAAAAAAAGCAAAGCGACATCGCTCATGGTAGAGATGTTTTCTCCAAAGTAATTATATTTTTTGAAACTGCAGGACGAGGCCATTTTGATGGTACTCTTCCATATGATCATCTACAGGCTACAAAGTTGAAATCGTCTAAGCCAGCTTTCGCCAAGTACGGTGAGCAGTGTAAGCGGAAACTATTTTCTATCCAAGAACAGAAGACGAGATTGTTCCAGGAGATTCTTATCGCATACTAGATGGCAAACCCGGCTCCGCCCGGGACCAAACTTTGCACACATACACTTCGGGGCAGGGAGCGTGTCATAGTCCACTTTTCGTTATCGATCGATGTCGATTTTACCGATTTTTTGCAAAATTTGAGCTAGGGGGCTAGGATTTTGCACAGGGGGGTAATCGAGCATGCTGATCACCCCGGAGGGGTTGATCAGCATGCTCAAAACCTAGCCCCCTAGCTCAAATTTTGCAAAAAATCGATAAAATCGATATCGATCGATAACGAAAAGGAGCCTATGACACGCTCCCTGCCCCGAAGTAAATGTGTGCCAAGTTTGGTCCCGATCGGTTCAGAAATAAAAATTTCTATTCCGCACATACGTACAGACAGACATACAGACATACATACAGACAGACATTCAGCTTTATATATAAGATGCAAATACAGAAATTAAGGCATTTCATAGACATATTGTGGATTTATTCAGCACCTTCCGATTGCAGTCTTTGCATATGGTATCCATGAAAATCGGCTTACCTATCAGGGCAGATGAAAGAATGCATTGCGTGTTTAATCAGCAAATTTTATGATCACCGGCACATTACCACTAGCTACTCATATGCTATGTCATTTTCATTCGGAAGGACCATATAGTGCAACATCTCAAGTTCTTTTTAGAAATAAAAAGGTAGAAACTCCTTGCTAAAACATTCGAAGGTAATTCTTCCTCAATGTCAAGTACCCTAATTTCACAAGTATAGGACGCACCATTTTCCATTTTTTAAGCGAGCAGCTCAGTCCCTCGCTCTCTTTTGGAAAACGCGAATTATGCCGCACGATACTTCCACGCAATATGAACCACTGTATACATTTTTGGTGCTTTTTTGATACTCAGCTAGGATGTATCCTGGACTTCCTAAACACTCCGTAGTTTGAAAGTTGTCGTACACTCGTCGCATATCACGTTCGATAGTAGCAAATGGATATGAGGATAACCACTACGCTGAATATAATGGTCATACACTTAGCTCGCTCCTTTTAGTGGAACAACAAAAAAGCTACTAATACTTTATCAAGTAAACAAATTCACCTAACTTCAGAACACCGCAAAGTGTAGATCAAATAAACCCGACGATAACAATATAATGCCTGAATACCTCAAAAAGCAGAAAATACAAGAGAATGTAAAAGAGAGTACAATGATGCCCGACAAAGTGAGGAAAAATATCGCTTTTGGGACAGAAACAGAAGTAAAAATACGACCAGCAAAAAGAACAGAGCTTAAGATAATTGTAGTGGTGAGAATTTCACTACAAGTACTAAACGCTACAGCCTCTAGAAGCAGAACTACCTTCACTCCAAAATTTTCTTTTCGGATGTAATGACACGCAATCACATACAGCTTCTCCAAAGAATCATTCCATGAAGCTAATGTAAAGTTTTGTCCCAAGGGTTTGAGCTCAAGCTGTCAAACTCAAGATTTCATGGATTTCGGCGCAGAGTTGCCCTAATTGCTAGAAAAAAGTGTACATTTGCTCATAACGTTCATGAAAGACTCATCTGGAGCTGCTCTGTCCTTTATTTGCTACATAAAGGTTTAAAAATTACCGCACCTCTGCATACTTTCTCGAGCATGTAACTTTTTCTTCTTTTTCGCCACATACATAACCAACTTCAAATCTTCTGATTTGTCTAAGACACAGCTTAAGAGAATTTCGCTGCGCGAACTATCCCAAAGCATAAAATAATCAATTTTCAACAAACAGGAAAGAATGAAATTTTGATCTTCGCAAGATTGTCCTATGATTACTGTCTATTACATAAAATTTTTGATCTCAGCAACATTTTCCCAAGATTACTGCTGCCTATCTCGACAGTCACTACGCGGATGGTCAGGATGATGAGATGCCGATATACTTTCATGCACTTCCCGTGTTTTCATCGTAGAGCGCTCTTATCCTCTCTCCGTTTCCATTTTGTTTTGTTTTCCCCTCGCGTTGTCTCTCACATTCTTCCTTCATGCTCCTGCTCCTGATCTGCACTGCCGCTTCTCTGGTAAGTTTATTCCACGCACATGAAAAGACATAAAACGATAGCGCGTTATTAAAAACCAGTGCGTCACCTCCGCTTTGCAAAACCTGCGTTGCTTCTACCATCTAGGCCTTCCTCGTGTTTGCATGAAGATGGCTCTGGAACCCACCGCGCAGTGCTGGCCATCAATAATTTATCGTAAACAAGTGGTTACAAAAGCTTTTTCAAGTACGATCGGCTACTTTGAGAAAAGGAGACCTTTGTGCCGAAAAATGAGCGCGGATTTATTTTGGTCACCGCAGCTATCAAGCTTTATGATTGCCATAATATCAATAACTACCGTGAAGAAGTAGATATCTGGGAAAAAATCTTTTCATATTCTTAGTGAGAGCTACAATGGACCATCTACGCAATCATTCACTATTGGCGATAATCTCACAAAAAAATTGATTTTCGACAATTTCTCAAATTAAAGGCAATGTCTCAAGATATACATGCCAGGCAAATCCACAATCTTGCAAAAATAGCCACAAACCCACTTTGTACGCTAGAAGCCGCATGGAACCCTCTGGTGCAATTTCCGGAAGTTCTGCTCATCAAAGCGGCTTGTGCTTTTGCATGATGAACCTACATGCTGATAGGGTGCTATGACCAAAATTCTATCTCAAGATCTTCGCTGGAACTTGGATTTTGTTACAAACAGACACATATACACACAAAAACACGTAGACAATCCACCCTTAGCCCGTTATTACGAGTAATGAAGATAGTAGGGATTACATAAAACTGATAAGCATAAGAGACATAATTCTCCTCTGACCATTGCCCAGCTGTTTGAGATCATTGCAATGCTTCACACCGCAGTGAATATGTCTGATAATTTGGGAAATCTCTGAGATGCAGTGAAGAGTTCAAGGGTAGATCTGCAACGCCAACATTAGCTTTCCCATGTCAAAAGAAACACAAAAGGGTTTCAAACAATTTTCCGGTCCCGCCCACCTCATTTTACTTTGCAAAGAAGCGACGTCTCGAACAGTTCTACCCGGATTATGAGAGTCCATGGGATCGTGGATGAACACGGAAATAACTTCGCTGATGGGCGGACTTCCATCACGACCATCCCTAGAATACCGAGCATTGTCAGAGTTCTGATACTGAGCAGCTGGAAAACCATATGTACTGAGCTCACCTCCATTTAACTTTTGCATCGCGCATGCAGATATAGTGTGTTCTAAACTCAAATCTGCAGTAGTAGTCCAAGAAAAGTATGAAAAGTTGGGCAAGATTCAGTCGATTCTTTTCCACTTCTGAAATAAGGCGATAAGTATAAAGAAGCAAAAGAAATTACCAAAAATCACATTTCGAATCAGATTCATCGAGTCAAAAGACGCAATTCATTCCGTTAGAAAAAACTTGAAAATTATTTGCATAAAACCTCTACACTATAAATTGTGAACATTTCTGAGGAGGTTAGGGAGGAAACAAATAGGGTGAGGGGCTAGCATTTCTGCTCTAACTGGCGAACAGATGTTGGACGCATCGCAATGCGAAACAGGATAGTAATTGTGAGGTTACATACCGAAGCCATCTCGCGAGAAGGAATCATCCGAGAAATTCAAAGCTTTAGGAAAACGAACTGTTCCACCATCATTACGTGCATACCTATCTGGAAATGATATGGTTAGAGGGAAAAGATCACACAATCTATGCGTACCTGGATAGACTTTTTGTAGATTCGGTAAGATAGGTGGGGAGACCCCACACTGTAAAAAGTGAACGACAAGTAAAACCATTGCGTAACTGAAATATATCATCTGACGCTGTCTGAACAGATGCGAAATGAAGCACTACCTATTGAATCCTCCAAGTTTCGGATTTTTTACATCATTTCGACTTGCCCAATCTTTGACCAGCATACACAAAGGAGCAAACCTTTCATCCCATCTAAAGCAGGCGACAGTAAGGAAGAATCATACCGCCATATCTTCAGAATTATGGCGCTAACAAAGAAAGTATTTTAAAAAATTTACTCCCCTCTATATGAGTGCTGCACTACACCACTGCTAGAGACACCCAAATCTGCTAAAACTTGACGTAACGTGTTATTCGACCCACTCTCAAGAATGTATTGAGCCATTAGTATCGCTGTAGTCCACAAGTTGATTTAGAAAAAAATACGCATTTTTTTGAGAATGCCGAACGAAGGGTGACCTCGCTAAACCTTCGCGGTCTTAGAGTAATCCAACGCGCGTTCGTGGTGTAATGGTCAGCATGGATGCCTTCCAAGCATTCGACGGGGGTTCGATTCCCCCCGAACGCATTCGTTTTGGAGGTCAGCCACAAGATCAGGCGAAAATGCGTGACAGATAGCTGTCTCCGCGCGAACGTCTACGCGGTTTCGGAGAAATCTAACACGCGTTCGTGGTGTAATGGTCAGCATGGATGCCTTCCAAGCATTCGACGGGGGTTCGATTCCCCCCGAACGCATTCGTTTTGGAGGTCAGCCACAAGATCAGGCGAAAATGCGTGACAGATAGCTGTCTCCGCGCGAACGTCTACGCGGTTTCGGAGAAATCTAACACGCGTTCGTGGTGTAATGGTCAGCATGGATGCCTTCCAAGCATTCGACGAGGGTTCGATTCCCCCCGAACGCATTCGTTTTGGAAGTCAGCCACAAGATCAGGCGAAAATGCGTGACAGATAGCTGTCTCCGCGCGAACGTCTACGCGGTTTCGGAGAAATCTAACACGCGTTCGTGGTGTAATGGTCAGCATGGATGCCTTCCAAGCATTCGACGGGGGTTCGATTCCCCCCGAACGCATTCGTTTTGGAGGTCAGCCACAAGATCAGGCGAAAATGCGTGACAGATAGCTGTCTCCGCGCGAACTGCGCGGTTTCGGAGAAATCTAACACGCGTTCGTGGTGTAATGGTCAGCATGGATGCCTTCCAAGCATTCGACGGGGGTTCGATTCCCCCCGAACGCATTCGTTTTGGAGGTCAACCACAAGATCAGGCGAAAATGCGTGACAGATAGCTGTCTCCGCGCGAACGTCTACGCGGTTTCGGAGAAATCTAACACGCGTTCGTGGTGTAATGGTCAGCATGGATGCCTTCCAAGCATTCGACGGGGGTTCGATTCCCCCCGAACGCATTCGTTTTGGAGGTCAACCACAAGATCAGGCGAAAATGCGTGACAGATAGCTGTCTCCGCGCGAACGTCTACGCGGTTTCGGAGAAATCTAACACGCGTTCGTGGTGTAATGGTCAGCATGGATGCCTTCCAAGCATTCGACGGGGGTTCGATTCCCCCCGAACGCATTCGTTTTGGAGGTCAGCCACAAGATCAGGCGAAAATGCGTGACAGATAGCTGTCTCCGCGCGAACGTCTACGCGGTTTCGGAGAAATCTAACACGCGTTCGTGGTGTAATGGTCAGCATGGATGCCTTCCAAGCATTCGACGGGGGTTCGATTCCCCCCGAACGCATTCGTTTTGGAGGTCAGCCACAAGATCAGGCGAAAATGCGTGACAGATAGCTGTCTCCGCGCGAACGTCTACGCGGTTTCGGAGAAATCTAACACGCGTTCGTGGTGTAATGGTCAGCATGGATGCCTTCCAAGCATTCGACGGGGGTTTGATTCCCCCCGAACGCATTCGTTTTGGAGGTCAGCCACAAGATCAGGCGAAAATGCGTGACAGATAGCTGTCTCCGCGCGAACGTCTACGCGGTTTCGGAGAAATCTAACACGCGTTCGTGGTGTAATGGTCAGCATGGATGCCTTCCAAGCATTCGACGGGGGTTCGATTCCCCCCGAACGCATTCGTTTTAGAGGTCAGCCACAAGATCAGGCGAAAATGCGTGACAGATAGCTGTCTCCGCGCGAACGTCAACGCGGTTTTGGAGAAATCTAACACGCGTTCGTGGTGTAATGGTCAGCATGGATGCCTTCCAAGCATTCGACGGGGGTTCGATTCCCCCCGAACGCATTCGTTTTGAGGATTACCCACAACACGTCGTCTTTAGCAGCTAATCAAGACTATAGATGGGCCAGAAATAAGGTAAGTCTACCCGTCCAAAAATGAACAAGGAAGAGGCCCAGCATAATTTGTGATGCAGATCAAATTACCTATTAAAAGCCCAGAACTCCCATGATATCCACCTTGATTACCTTTTTGGTGAACCACTGACAATTACCTAAATCGTCAGCGATGTATTGCTACCGTACTACTCAAAATCTATCCAACATGAGACTTACGAAACAAATCCTCGAATGAGAAAACTATTGTGTATCCCTGATACGAAGGAATCAGTGCAAGAGCTGAGATCAGCCTCAATACCCGCTTTGGTTTTAATTTTCAGTACCGGCACCTATAAAAATGAGGATAAAGAAAGCAGAAAAAGTGGATCGCTTACTTCACCTTGGCTTCGACATACTGCAGTTCTTCGATTTCATTCTTGAAGTCGTCGTCAGTCAGCAGAAAATGCCGGATTCCTCGCAAGATGTGATAAGCAGCGCTAAAACACACAATTCATACTACTGGTGTGTGATCAGGAAAAAACTTACTCCGACTCGTTAGGAAAAAATGGTCTAGCATCTGGGCACCAAAAAGTCACATCGAGATCACTCTTCCTTGAAGCAAGGCGAGTCATAGTTGAACCCGAGGGGAATAATTTGAAACGCCATCTCTGCTACGGTACTCTCTTAGTGGTTAGAAAAACTGACAAACGATAAAAGTAACCAAAAAGACTTGTACATATGGGTTTTTCATCAGCGTAAACAAGTGAAGCAAAGAAAAGGGGAATAAATATTTGATTCTAAAAAAAATCTTACCTTTCTTTTCCTGATTATTCGCGCTATACTATCCATAAATGCCATTTTAGCTGCAAACTCATCGTACGTCTAAAAACAACTAAGGAACAAGATAAGTCGTTTGACTGAGTGATCTTGTCATCCAATTTCTCAATTAACACGTTGACGACAGTGCCGCGCAATGGTGCGCGGCAGGCAGTCTGTCCCTGTGGACGACGCCGCGCAATGGTGCGCGGCGGCCTTAATTTCAATACTATCTGTACAATCCTCTCAGTTTTTGTTCATAACCAACATAGGCTCAGATGTATCTCATGTATTAGCCCCGCCCCTTTTTGGCAAACTCCGCCCACTTCTATACCCCTCACAGGGCCCCTTTTTGTTCATAAAAAGCTTGGATGAGGCCGTAGATGAACGCAAAGACCTCAAGTAACTTTTATATGGGCCCCGCCCACCGTCAGGCAAACTCCGCCCCCTGATTGGCAAGCTCCGCCCACTTTTCAAAAATGCCGGAATTTGCACGAATTCATTGATTTTGAGCGATTTCCAGCATTTTTGAAAAGTGGGCGGAGCTTCCCCGCCACCTTGCATTTTTGTATCTCACGCATAGATGCATGCATACATATATGCAGCCGGCTGTGAAAATGCCCGGAAACGGTTCGTCCACAGGGACAGACCTTCAAAAAATGGCTCGTCGCCAACGTGTTAATTAGCGCCAATGTTGAACAATCTCAACAAGTAGCGTAGCGAATCTGCCAATAAGCGTAGAACAAGACTGTATAGTTCACTTCAGTACGTCTTAGATAATGCGTTTAATTGACTCAATACTCATTCCACTCATACATCATTGTTTTCAGGCCTATAAAATTGAAAGAGAACATGCAAATATTTTACGAGAACGATCTCAATCAAGGTGGGAAGCGAACTGTAATAAACCGCATATCATTAGATGCGCCTTGAAGAGCTGATTCCGAATCTACTTTCCATATTTGCGATGCGGTTATTAAAAGTTACGAGCGTTCGAAAACCTAAATTTGGAAAATTTCCGAGCCTCAAGGATTAGTGTTGTTCAGAAACATTGTGTTTCCGGTCAATGTGAGCATCCCTTGTCGATGCTCTAATATCCCGTGATCACGCACTCCGAAAATGATAAAGCATAGTTTGCTTGAAAACCCGATGAACTCGCACTTTTAACCGTCAGTAACTTTTTCCAAAGAACCGCATCGTAGATATGGAAGGTAAATTTGGAATCAGCTCAACAAGGCGCACGCAATGATGGTATGATATGCAGTTCATTCCAGTTCACCACTCAAAGCCAGTGTCTCAGCAAATATTCGACTTCCAGTTCGTCAGCTTTCCGGAGCCTTCTCATCATAAGAAATCCATATCTGTGCTTTCCAGCGCATGGAAATGGCGAAAATGAGCTTTCTCCAAAGCTTTCCAGGTCCGCAATTCGCGAAAATATACCGGAAGTGTTCCGCGTCCCGCCTCCTTCGTTCCGGACCCCGCCCACTTGCACATACTCTCCACCGAACGCGGACCTGGAAGGCTTTGGAAAGAGCTCATTTTCGCAATTTTCATGCGCTGAAAAGCCCATGTATGGGCTCCTTAGAGCGAGCTCCGAAAGGGTAAAAATCTGTAAAACGAAATTCTGCCAGGAGACTGCCTTTGAGTTAGGATCGTTCCCTTGTCAGATCCTGAGGAAGGAAAAAGAAATGTTTATAAATTCTTTGATATTCTTACCTCCAGATTATCGAAATAGTATTCGTAGATCTGCCTTGACAGACTGTCCAACATCTCAGTATACCTTTCGTTGCTGAACATTCTGAAAAGCATCAAATGCACATGGAAGTTCTAGACCTACGAAAACAGAAATGAGCTATGCTCAACGTAAATTCCCGTTGAAGTAGTCTTACTTGGAAAAATACTTTAGACTGTGCTCAATATACTTCTTGTTCGGTGTCACCAAATACCCTGGATACACATCAGTATCTTCCAAATATTCCTTTCGCTTCCTTTCTTCTCCATTGGGAAAAGCCATTGTCTACAAATTTGCAGTTTGACGTAAGGTTTCATGTAGAAAAAGTACCTGTCAATACACTGTATTATAGATCCCAACTGGTCATCGACTTGGAACAGTAGTCAAAAGCAGGCGTAGAGGGATTGCGCAGCTGCTGTGACTGCACAAACTTCGCTAAAAATGTCTCGCTGAGGTTGTCCTTCAGAAAGGATGGAAATCAAGTGGTGCGCACTTGCATATGCTGAAACTGGGAATTCAAAAAAGTACTCAAAGTTGAAGTTCAGTAATCGTAATGAACCAATCACGATCAAAATTGGGATTTCTGTGTGTTCGAGGTTGTTCTTCTGCATAGCTATGATTGTTCGCAAAACAAAGCACAAAGCACTTTTTTCAAAGAACTTTTCAAAATCTAAGTTCAAGTTCAGTAATATGTTCAAAGTGAGTGGTTAAATAACGAGTTCATGCCAATACACATAGACATTTTATACGACATCACTAATCATGTATGGATATGTGTATGACAAGGTCGCGCCAACAGGTATATAGCTTGTAGCCAAGATGTAGGTTAGAACCTTAATGTGCCTGCGGCATTCTGCTCGAGGGAAACCTTTATGAGGTCATGACCTTGCAACGCGGAAGAGGGAAAACATGTAATCGAGTACATGGAAAACATAGAAATCCCAATTTTGATTGTGATTGGTTCATTATGATTACTGAACTTCAACTTTGAGTACTTTTTTGAATTCTCAGTTTCAGCATATGCAAGTGCTCACCACTTGATTTCCATCCGTTCTGAAGGACAACCTCAGCGAGACATTTTTAGCGAAGTTTGTGCAGTCACAGCAGCTGCGCAATCCCTCTACCCTGGTTTTGACTACTGTTCCAAGTCGATGACCAGTTGGGATCTATAATACAGTTGTCAATACCGACAACGAAACGCAGTCGTAACAATGAATTGAATATGTTCAAATTTGAATTGTGAAGTAGGCGTGAAGTAGAATGCATTGCAGAAGCGCGCAACTACAGAACCAAGTTCGAGCATAATTTTTTCTCTTCCGTTTTCATGCTAATAAGATCTAACGGTAAGTCCAGTTGTTTTGTAATTTGGAGGCTCTGTTTGTGCAAGCGATTACCTCATTTATCTAGCGTCTGCGAAGAGAGGATGAGGATGCTATTGTTTAAGTAATTCCTAAATTGTTTTGTTCTTGAGCGATTGTATGAGCTGAGAATTTTTTTGAGGGGGGAGCGTGTTAGTTTTGTTTAGTTAGATGCTGATGGTTTGTCAAAACCATCCCAGCAAAAGAAGTCAAGTTTTAATTTTTTGGGCTGAGCTGCAAAGATTTTTGGAAGATAGCAATAAACTTGCAAATTTCATCCTTGGTATGACCCATTTCATCTAGATGAGCATATATCGAAGATCTTCCAAAAATTCCTTTAAAAAGAGAAGAATTGCAGAAAAACTGACTTGCTGTTTTGTATTAGGTTGTTGCAAAAATAATGTCCGTTTTGCAAATTTTCACTCTGGAAGGCTATAACTTCGTTCAGTCTTCATATTTTTGAATGCAGTTAAGACCATCAGAAACAGCAAACCTTTCATAATTTAGCGCGCACCTGCTCGTACTGATATCGCAAACGGGAAGAAAACCATGCGTCAAAAAATTGGAAGTTTTTCTTTTGAAAACCTCTTCTTTGAGAGCTTACAACTCCCTTCAAGTTTTGTTCTTATGGCTGCCAATCAGCTTATTTTGTAGCAGCAGGCCATGAGTTTATGTTTGTATAGAAAAGACTCCAACGAAAGAGTTCTGCGGAAAGAAAAGATAAAAATTCAAAAATGTTCACTTTTTGATCCTATTTCTTGTAGGCTTGTGAGTGCCAAATTATGAAATGGAATTCTTCGTGCACTGAATAGCTAAATTTCTCTTCAGATATTGTAGTTAAGGTGTGCTTATCTCAAGCTTACAGATATGGGCGAAGCTTTGGCGATTGCCTTAATTATGAGAAATTTCTGACCCATACAATGCTAGCAGTAAGTATCTATTTCGAGGCGTCAATTTCTCAGTCCAGATATCTCCAAAAACCTAGATGAGCATGCAGTAGGTAAACAATCTTCATTCAATACAGATGCTATGTTTTCAGAAGAATTCGTTTATTTGCTCCTGAATTGTGGTCTAGAAACTGAAAGCTATGAAATTTCGATTTTGAGTGCGGATGTGCAAAATGCTGGTGAAATTCTGACAGAAGAGGATAGCAGCTTATTTTTACCACCGTTAGAAAGTACATGGAGGAAGCTTTTCAATGATATGCAGATTCTGTATTGTCATAGAAAGTTTGACGGAAAAAAGTTGTTTGGAATCTAGGCCTAGAAAAACGGACATTATTTTTGCAACAACCTAATATCATTTTGGAAACAGTGAACTTCAATAATGTTCATCGGCATACTGTTTGAAAGAGTGAGACGTAGATTACGCTACCCCTTAGCACTTGCTCGACCACTTCATTGTCTGCAAAACTTGGGTGAAGCTGGACCTCTGAGATATATCTATCAGCCCTCGAGCAATCTTCGGGGAAGTGGTTTAAAGTGGTTACGGATTGGAATTGGAGGGACAACGCTCTTACTGGATTGGGCGCAACTTTTTTCATTTGCAAAAAAAAACGATTTCTGGTAAAAGGCGTCTCGGCGAAACTTCGTTGTTCACTTTTTTACCTACTCGAAGCCTTCCCGCCATGAGGAAACATACGCGGGCTTTGCAGCGCGTGAAAATGGCAAAATGAACCTTTTCGAAGCTCTCCAGATCCGCATTCAGTGGAATACGCCGGAAGTCCTCCGCGCTCCGTTTCCCTCGTTTGGGACTCCACCCACTTACACGTATTTTTCAATAAATGATACCGGGAAAGCTTTAGAGAAAGCTCATTTTCGCCATTTTCATGCGCTGAAAAGCCCAGATATGGATTCCCCAGGGCGGGAAGGCTTCGAAAAGGTGGAAGACTGGAACGTAACTTTATCGGGACGCTGCCTTCAAACTTGGTACAAGCACGCGCACACTTCCCCCCCCCCTTTCCTTCTCTTCTCTCTTCTCTCTCTTATTTGTCTGATGTCTTCTTCATTTGTTTAGACAAAGTGGAAACTCTACCTTTGGTTTTTCAGCTTGAGGTAAACATAAATGGATAAGAAGAAGAATCGTCACCTCAAGAAGTTGAAAAAACAGATTAACGAATTATTTCTGATGGGTGGCATAACCCAAGAAGAAGCTGAGGCCATCGATGAGGCTGAATCAGCGATGATAGCACGTACTTCAGTCGAAGCTACATCGTCAACATCTACATCAACATTTTGTACAGGTCAGTTTCGGAAAGAATTTGATTTGTTGTGTCAACCTGTGAGTTGCAGATTCTTCGATGAAAATTTCAAGGAAACTAGCTGTTGCACGTTATCAACGTCAGCCTGGACCTCAGCTGACGCTTACTTTAGACCGACTAGGTGGCACCTATATGTCACATGCTGGTGAGTTATAAAATGAATCTCTTAAAAAAGGGCAATGAAAATTGCCCATACAGAGAGCGTGTTTATCGGCTGCCATTTTTGGCACAGGCTTATGCGTTTTGATGTTCAACTCAAATTTGTACGCTATGAGTCTTCGAACAAGACTTGAAGTACATTTCAGAGGTCAGTGAACTCGTCCAGTATTCTGTCATCGGCCCAGTGGTTAACAAACCAAGATGGGCTCATTTTCGTCCGTGGAAGAGCACCTCACAAACAGTTCTCATACGAGTGAATTGTCCGAATGACTATATAGCAAGTATTTGCTATTTTTCTTTTTATTGAAACTCATTACATTGTTTGTAATGAGTTTTTCAGGAAAATAACGAATTTTCGTTTTCGTTCATCGACCAGTTTTTCAACAAACAGTGGATCCGCATGGATCAGGCAATTGGAGATCGTGAAGCTTTTTGGAATCACATAATGCAAGTACCTGTGAGCATACAGGAACAAATACGGGAACGAGTTTTGGTCAGTTTTTGCCTATCTCTTAACGTAAACAATTTTTGCTAACAATTCAACAACGTTTTTTTCTTAATAACATTTTCCATTCTTATTTTCCGTTATTTTGTTATTGTCGAGGTTAGACATGGCGGCTTAAGATTTATTTCATGGGGTGAAGCGCGAGTTTTTGCGGATGGAGAGGCATGCAGTCCTCCGGCAAATTTGTGAAATACGTTGAGAGTCGAATACTTTCTGTTCTGCATCGCTGCTTCCTATGCGGTACTATGCGGTACTCGTTTGGGATTTTTGGCTTTTCGGGATAGATAGTACCAATTTCCAAACTCTTTGAGCATAGAACTTCGTTAGAGGTGCTAATGAGCCCGACGGTAGAGTCATCACGCATCGGCTTAGGGGCCATTTGAAACACGTTTAAATGATTCACTTATATCTTTCCGACTGCCAAACATGCTTTCTGTGTGCCAAAAGCGTTTCATCTGCCGAAACGTACCGTTTGCAATCTCATAGTGAAACCGGATATAAATAATGTTTGCTTTTCTGAATGGTTGATTTTGATGACAATGGCATGATATGAAGCTGCCAGTCACTTCTTTCTTTGGCATGTGAGCTTATTGCCACGTGGGTTGTAGCTGCGGTACTACTATATGCTTCCATTTTGGAGTGTTTATCTCTTCTCTTGCTTTGATAGACTCTGTCTATTTGATTCGTTTAGAAAGTGGATCCGATGGAAGGTATTGCGAAAGGTGAGGAACTGAGAACGGAACTGCTCATCACCACGCCTGAAATGGTGGATAATGGTTATCCTTTTCCTGATGGACGTAATATTCCTACCAAAGAAAAGTGTGTTTTGTTTCCTTTTGGTCTTTTTGAGTTCATGAGCCCATTTTTGCTTTGTATGATCTATGCGATGTTGTATGTACAGGAAGGCAACGCACCGCATGCTTTTTGATTTCGAAAGTCCATATAATGAGGCTGATTAAATTTTTCAGATATGTAGCAGTAACAAAGGACTCCCCTATTTTTGCGTTGGACTGTGAGATGTGTGTTACTTCGGTATCTGAACATGAGCTAACTCGGATATCTCTTGTAGGTTCACGTTGATAAACCTTTGAAGTTGAGTTCTCTCTAGCAATCAACGTTATAGATCAGGGAAGATGGGAGTGTTGTGTTGGATACATTGGTTAAGCCAGAAAACGAGATTATAGTGAGTTTAATTGTCAGCTATGACTATTTCATTACTTACTTTTCCTATCTGTGGGACTATCTGACGAAGTTCTCTGGCATCACAGCTGAACTAATGGAGCCGGTGACAACAACGTTGGAAGACGTCCAAGCTGCTATATGCGCCGTTCTGCCTCCAGATGCAATTCTCTGCGGTCATTCACTTGAATTTGATCTGCGTGCTATGCACATGGCTCATCCGTAAGGGCTCTTACTCCTCTTATTTTTTTTATTTTCTGCTGCAAATTATATCGGTAGTACCTGCCTGTTTCTATTTTATATTATTATTATTATTATTATTATTATTATTTTTCTATTATATCAAAACTTGTGTTTTAGATATTGCATCGATGTTAGCCTTATCTATAATCTCTCAGGCACTGTGAGAATAAAGACAAGTTTGAAAAACTTGATGTCGCTGTTTTTTGAAGAGGAGATCCAGGTGCGTCAACAGAAGAATCGTTCACTTCCATGATTATACTGTGTGCTTGCAGAATTCACATGGACACTGCTCAGTTGAGGACGCTTGGTGCGCATTACGTCTTCTAAAGAAAAAACTTGAAAATGGGTATGCTGTTTTTTCGATGTTCGCGTACTCAGAATCTTTACCCAAACTGTTTCAGACTCATCTTTGGCAACTGTCAGTACGGTTGGCGTTACAACGACTTTATGAAACAAAAGCATGCGCAAGATGCTCAAAATCTCGAAGATAAGAGTGTTGCCGATGTGCAGCCTGAAATTGCTGGGTCTGATGAAGGCGGTGACTCCGAGGCTGTAGTTGATACTCCCAAAAGCAGTGACTCAGAGCCTCCAACGAAAAAGTCTCGTATGGAGCCAAGGTAATTCACTAGTTTTATTCTGACTTGGTTATCTTCTATCTTTTCATTTTTCTCAATAGTTTTTGCAATTTTTCTCAGGAAACGTGTGTTCTGTGAGTGTGGGGAGGTTATCGGTGTTGATTGCATCTTGGAGAATTGCCAGTGTCATGCTTCTCCACCTTCCCAATGTCTTCGATGTCTGACCAAGAATGCGAGTTCGTTTCCTGAAGGAGATTTTGATTGGAGGTATGCTTTTTAAAACTTAAGTTGAAACATTTGTAGTAGTAGCTGCAGTGGCGGTCCCAGAATTTCCGCCCGGGGGAGGGGCAAGAATTTTTTTCCAGTGAAGGTGCGTGGCGTGAGCCATGCACTCCGAAAAAAATTTTTGGGATGTTTTTCAAAATTTCTTCCGGGCCCATAACTCCTAAGCCACGCACGTACGCGAAAACTTTTGTGACGAGGCTTATGTGAATTTTTAAATTTTCGAAAATGTTCCAATTATTCACAAAAATAAACACGTCACTTGCACATTTTTTACATCCTTTGTAAATAAATTTCAAAAAATTTCGTGGCTTATACTCGAGGGCTTCCCGCTCCCCTCCTCCCTGGCATTAGCTTGCTGTCTGTCGATTTTCAACGCGAGCACGACAAGAAAAATGGACGGGAAACGGTGTCATTTTGAAATCTTACAATTCGTATTAGGTCCTTTTTTCTTGATCCCATCCCTCTCTAACAACATTTACTTGTTTGGCGCCTCTGTCTCCTAGTCATATTTTCCTACCTCTTTGAGCTTATCATCATCTTTGCGTTTCCAGCAAAGCTGTGCGAAGCGAATACTGCTGCTCATATCGGCCACTTTCCTACTATCTCGTTGATTCGAAAAAGACTGTAATGGTCGGGTTCGCTGATGTGAAAGATCTTCATATACAACGAAACAAAGTGTAAGTTCATATCTGCAGTTATATGTATCACACATATATTATCGTTTAAAGGTTTACACTTCGTCGTCCAAGCTCCTTCCCCTCGCTTTTGGACTATGTTGATGAAGTCAGCTGCGATTTACTGGAGTATGGCTTAGCGCTAATTGAAATCGACTATCTGAAGCGGCAGGAAGAGGTGGGAATTGTACTTTCTCTGTTTCTTCCAAGCTTTCATATCACTATTGTGTTAGTCATCCGATTTCTTGTTACCAAATGATTGTAGTATTCCTCTGAAGAGGAGGAAGACGGTGAAGTTTGCGATGGCCGGTGGCGGATGCAGCGTGCTGTTCACGAACTTGATGGACATTTGGAGAAGGTAGTTTGAATTTTTTTTTTGTTTTGCGTGAAGACCACATTTCTGTAGACTGTTACGCTTCGGTAGTCATTCGTTCGTTTTTTAGATCATCAGGGCAGCGGCCCGCTACAGCCTCATTATGGTGGTTATGGCCAGCGAGAAATCGTCGGTGTGTTACCTAAAGGTCAAGCCGTAGCTATAGCTATTGTTCAAGTGTTACTATTAGAAAAAGTTCTTTTGTGCCTATCCAGCTCTACGGGTCACGTAGGCATGTGTTCGCATTTTCTCTTCTTCTTATAAGCTTTCCATCATATTTTCGCAAATTACCACAGCTTACACGTCATTTTACTTTTCAAGCATGCTTAGTAAATAAGGCAAAGCTACATTTTGTTTATTTCTTTCGTTCGCGACACTGCAATTTCGTGTTTGCACGTGATTATGGCGTTTCGAGGCGCCATGAAGTCAACCAGTGCTGTAGCTCATGAAAAGCTTTTTGTTTTATAAGTAGTGCGTTTCAGATAGAACCCTGCGTGTTCTCATTTGAGTTTGAGTTTTAGATAATCTTATTAGAGTTTCCCGCGTTGCCATCTATTGTATTGTAACGGTTTAGCACATCTACATCTCAGCATAGTGAAGTGTTGATTTGTATAGAAAAATGTGCCCAATTTTGTGGGTTATAATTTTCGCAAATTACATCGTTTATTATCCTGTAAGCTGTTATTTCTATGCTGTTATTGTTGTTTGTTGTTGTGAGAATTTGATTAATTTGGATCAAGGATAAAGAATTCTGATTACATACGACTACATCTTTTTTCTTCCAAAAAAAAAAACAAATAGCGGGGCCATAAAATTCTGAAAATATGGTAATAGAGACCGAGTTTGAAAATTGGGATTCCACTTGGAATGTAATTGGGAAAGGCAGCGCGTACATATTCAAATGTTTGAGTGCCGTGTTATCACAAGAAATTTTCTAAGCTACATCTCCATCGACGCGGGTTTTCCCGTTTCCGTGCAACCTGGTGTTTTTCTGTAATTGATGAGATCGTCCACACCTGATTAGCTTGTTATAATCGCTCGTATCCGAGTTACGGAGGGATGAGCAGGCGCTCAGTTCGATTGCATCTCCGCCTCTTTTGCGTCTTCGCATTTCATAATCAAACTTGTCTCTTTTATCATGTTGTTATACAGTGGAATTTGATGGTTAACTATTTGCAAATAGCATTAATGTTTGAATATTAGGTCGTTCCGAAAGTTCGTTCGCAATTTTCAAAATTTCATAACTTTCGATTTCTCCAGCCGATTTTACTGCCTTTGAATTTATATGAAAATGCCAAATCGTGCTCTTTATAATGACATCTTAGCCGTTTACTAACGGTCATCTTTTGCAGAAGTGGTAGAAGAAAATTGCTAAAAAATTTGAATTTTCTGTGTAGGGTCATAAAAAATCTAAAACTTGCAATATCGGAGCAGTTGGTATTATATGGTTACCTGCTCTTTCTATCTGTGTAAAGCCAGTGCTGATTGGACGTCTCTATCAAAAATAAAGTTTCACGAGAAAAAGGGCAAAATTAATCAAAATTGCGTTTTTGTACTGCTTCCTCGAGAATCTTAACTTTTTACAGAAATGTTCAATCAGACACAAACTTTGCACAGTTAGAAGAGTTAGGTAATGGAAACTATAATATTGACCGCTCAGATTTTTATTGCAAGTTTCAGATTTTTTGTGACCCTATGAAAATACATATTTTGAAAAATTCTCTTCTACCGCTCCTATCTACGCAACGGATGAGCGTTAGTAAGCAGCTAAGATGTCATTGTAAAGAGCATGACTTATTCCTTTATATAAAAGTAAAAGCAGTCAACTCAGTTGGAAAAATTAGAAGTTATGGATTTTGAAATTTGTGGGAACGAACTTTCGGGACGACCTAATAATTCTTGTTTTGCTTGACGAAGTTTTCTAAGACAAAATATTGTTTTGACGTATTATAATTACGGTTTCAATTTTTTTTAACTTATAAGTTGTTGAAAAGCAGCTCAAGATTGCATCTTTCTCAGTTTCACGCGGAAAAATGGCGGACTTATCTATTTGTAAAACTTATTTGTAGGCGTATAAATGTGTACAGTTCCGATTACGAATGTTAATTTATATAGATAAAACTTGAAAATTAACTCCGGATCGACATAAAGATTTTCTGGGCAGCAGTATGAGCACTCGCTTGGATTGGAGGTTGTAAATTGCACTGTAAAAACGGAACTTGCCTGTGAAATGAAGAATCTAGTGATTCGATTCTATATATACTGGCTTCGGCGACTACCGGTCTTTTCGCGGTAATGCATACATATCTTCGCGGAGTTTTTTTTTCACTTAGATAATTTTTGTTATCATCTTTCTGCACCTTTATGGAAGTGGTGAAATGAAGAACTTCGAAGTTTGAGTGTTATGCAGAGTTTATTCAAGACTACCAGTCTATTTGACACCTCATAGATCGTGAGAATGCTCCTGATACTTTTTCAAAAACCCTTTGTTTCAAGAATGCTGGTGAAGTACGGGGCCAGTGTTTTGCCATATGTTATGCGTTGATAGCTTTCAATTCAACTGGATTGGCGGCTAAAAGGCGGGGTCTGTGACCTAATTAAAGCCGCTCGCGCCCGCGACGCTGTCTGCGTCTCTCTCACGTCGCGCTCTCTGATCAGTCCCTAGCCTTAACTAGGTCACGAAGCCCCGCCTTCCAGCCTCCAATGCAGTTGAATCAAAGGGTATGTTGTTGTACGGTATGGTATGTGTTCCAATCAAATACTGTATGTAAGGACCAGTCAGCGCCCAGTGTAAGAAAATTATTCATGCCATCAACTAAGTTAGCACGATCCCAAGTAAAGGCATTATGGAAGAATCAGATGCAATTCGAAAATTAAGCTTAGTCTAGAAAGCTCCCCCACATTTGATTGTGGAGTGAGGCCTCGGACAGAGTTCACGCGATTTGATCATCGCGAGCAATCGCTACAAGACAACTGTTACGTGTTCATTGCATGCCGATCAGCTTGCATTTCGGTTGTGATACTTTTCCAGCTCAAAATTTTTTGATTGTAAAATGAAAATGAATGAAAATGGATGAAAGTGGCGGCGATTGAATCGCGACGATCAAATCGCATGACTCTGTCCGAGGCCTGATATCAACGGAGTCCTGGCGTAATGGCTTTTCCTGCGAACAAAATGGACTTAGTCTATGCTGTGTGATAAAATATCGCATTCGCGGATCCATTCATTCCATACAGAAATGCTTCAGCAAACTTTCTTCAACTTGCCTCAACCTGTTTACTCACTCGCAAACTCATTCCCACCAAGTGGTCGATATCTAACTAGGCTGACCTAACTTTACAATGTCAGTCATGTGAATATTCTATGCCTTTTCAGTTCGTTACACCTCATGTAAAACCATTTGTTATCTATGAGTATGCATCTAAATTACTTCTAGTTCAACTAAAGTATCAAGTATCTGGTCCACCGTATTTTAAGACTCCTTCTATGAATCTATTACAAAGCAAACCTTGGGTAGACTTGCACTGCAATTTGTGAATCAAAATGCTCATTTTATTAGGTTGGCTAATAAATAAATTCGGTTTGACATGCTTCTTCGAAAATCTGTAGCAATTCGACTAGCAGATATTTAGCAAAGATTATTTTGCCAAGCGGTAGCTTCAACCCTCTACTATCACATATCAAATAGTCGCAGTTTTTGGTCATCAATAATTAGCAATAATGCCCTTATATGGTTCGCCTTCTGAAAATTCGCTTTTTTGATTTTCTAAGTGTCGTTCTCAGCCCATAGTGAGCGCACAGGTGAGTAATGTGGTGGTTAGGTGTATACAACCTTTGGCTACATGACGAACCACAATGGGGATTGTGATCTGTTGTTTGTGAATTTCTGCAGCCAAAAATGTGAGAATTTCCAGGCATTTTCGCATGGGAGTCAGTTTTTGGGCAGGCCGAATCGCTCGAGTTTGAGCATCTGTAGCCATGCAAATTGTTGGAAATTTCAGAATTTGTGGTGTGGATGTCAGTTGTGCATTTTGCACCCAACTTTAGCTCATTTTTCGGGACATGATTTTTCTAAAATTCGATGAAAAAATCTGACTATTTCCAATTCCTGCACAATTTCGTCGTCAAAATGATGATTGGCGTCAAGACAGGGTCGACCATCCGATTCTCCCTGATTTGCTCTTTCTAATGGTACCAAACGTTCTTACAAAAATTTATTTGCAAAATTTCTACACACCGTTGAAAACGACCGAACTTATTTTTTAGCCAACCTAATAATAGGGAACCTTGCAATACACTACAACTCAAAAGGTTTTAAGGCTAGAAAAACTGTGAATCTGCAAAAAGTTGATTACTTCGCGAATGCTTTACTTTAACAATCCCCAAACTCCAATGTAAATATGGCGTTTGGTACGAAAAAAAGCTGTTCTTGCATCAACTGTATGAGTTTGAGGGGTGGGTACTAGAGTGATGCCAAAGAAATTTAATCTTCCGTTCAAGACTTATTCAAGCGGGTGCTCTCATTCCACGTCATATGTATTTTTTAATGATCAAAGTTTCCTTCCGTCTCAGTCAGCATTGTAGGAAGCGCTTAAATCAACGACTCTTTTTTACTAATCGCAAATCTTGCCATAAATTTTAAAAAGGTTTCAATTTATTTAGTTGTTGCAAAAACTCTTGCACAATTCAAAACCAGCTAGGTATATAACACTTTTCTCAAGCCTTTCGCTATAAGCTTTGCATCGGGCGTAAAATACTCAAAAGGAAGATATAGAACGCAGAAAGTACTGATCTAGTTACGCCTGCGCTCCATGACGACTTAAACGCTTATGTGATGTTAACAGTGCAAGTGCACTATCACCAAGGAACCTACTTTACTGTAAGTACATTCACTAATGCAGGTTATGCGCTAGCTGCAGCGACATTTGTCGCCCTACAAACTTTGTTTCGTTACCAATTGAATACTTTTTGCTTTTTTTATGATCTACACAAAATTAATGACGGTCTGTATGAATAATTTCACTGGATTGATTTTGTTACAAACTATCGTTGAGCTGGTTTTTTCCATTCAACATTAGAATGGCTGGGTAGTTAACAGGGCCATCGGCCCAATATAAAGTTTCTCAGAATGGGTCGCGAATTTTGAGATGTACACGAGTTGTAAAACTGTGCAAGTGACCTGCATCCACATATGAACAGCTGAAATAATTCTGGAAATTTTTTAGAAATCCAGGCACGAGCTTACGAAGTATCAAAAGCGTCTTAAAATTACAATTCGAAGACGTGACTAACGCTATAGCACTTTATCTAGAAAAAACGCAAAAAAAAACGCATCAGAGAAAAAAAAATTCTCTTGTCACTCCTCCCAACCACCCACCCCAGAAGATTTCTTACTAAATTGCGAAAAGGTGCTCTCACTCGTCCGACACTTATTCGATTTTCGTTGAAGTATTTGCAATCACTGCAAATCTCATGGCCACATTGTCGCCAAAAACGTTTCGGTAGAAGAAGAAATACAAAAATTTGATTCTCTTAATTTCGTGTTCAGGGAAGTTCCCTATTTTGTGCCAAAACAGAAAAGATGTTAGGTTAGCAAGCGAAGATTAGATGAGGCACCAATTTCCCGCTTGATCTACAATATTTATTTATTATAATATTGAAATCTCTTTGTCATAGAAAAACTATAGGTTGTCCCAAAAGTACATAAGTACACAATTTTTAATCATTGGTAGCTCTCTTCCCAAAAAGCCTTCTGCTTAGCCTCATGTGCTCTTCAATATATTCTACTTCTGCAGTAGATTTTACTATTCTTGTTGTGTATCCATTCTGGGGCAAGCTGTAGCCACTGACGGCTCAAATCCCTTTTCAAAGTTCTTACCGTACTCCTACAGTGAGTAATTCGCTTATTAATGTCAATATAATTGTATTTTGAAGCCTGCTCCACAAAATGATGTCTGAGCTAAACATAAGCAGAAGACTTTGCGGAAAGGGAGTTACTAACGAGTGAAAAGTGTGTACTTCTCCGTATAATGTAAATGGAGAAGAAATGCGAGAGTGATAGAAAGTCAGTGTCAAAATGGTCTCTTAATTTTAAATTTCTTTTATCTTAGGAGAGGGAACACAGACTTCGTTTTGATGTGAAAAGAACCTAAGTCTAAAAACGGTGACACCATCAAGAGATGGGTTAAATGCACATTGAAGGCAATTTGCTCTCCATGCTTTTTTTTAGGAAATGGCAAATCCTCGTATTCTTTGTCACTTCATCTTTCTAATGATTCCAACAAAAGCTTTATTTTCTAAGTCAAATTCTGGCTATCAACAATCTTGGGAAGAGCAAAAGAGAGGGCGTATATCAAAAAGTGCAGAAATAACCTAATTTCTCCATTAAAGTTTATCCCACACAAATCAATCTACCTAATCTAATCGCGCGCTCAAGACTCGTAATGTACTCTAATGCAACGTAAGACTGTCATTTATCTCACTTGCATACTTGTAATCACCTAGTAATCTCCCTAGCACATTGCTTCTTAAAACAAGTGCAAAATGTCATGCAAAGCTGATTTAATCAAGCAGCAAAAGGAGTGGAGAAGCTGGAAGAGAGAGGGGTTTAGGGGGCAAGATATCATAACTGCTATACATGGATTTTTTTTCCGAGAAAATTCAAGTTTTCGCTGCTTTCGTATTTTTCTTTATATCATGAGCAACACCTGAGCATTTGAAATTCAAAGAATTTTATTTTATGCGAAACAGAAAATTTCTCTGGACTGATTTAATACTTCGGATACATGTTGCCCTTTCACACTTGGAAGTGAATAGGTAACGAAACTACAAGGAGAAGAATAATTCGATCGAAAAATTATAGTCCGGGAATCTCATTGTAGTCTACAATCACGTCATGGACAGCTGTAGTGAGACAGAATGTGACTTTTGGAAAGAAAAAGCGTAAAAATTGGCTCGCATTCAAAAGTCTGAAGTCTAAATAGCAATTTTATTGTTCTATGCGTTAGATTGAGTAGGACACGAAAGACGTGGTTACTTCATCCCCATGTAAAAATTTTTGGGACTTTCTAATTTTAGATGATGTCGCATAACTCCTATACGCTACTCATTTGTATAGTAGTACTTTCCTCTAAATGATTTTTATTGTTTTTTTAGATTTATTTATGGATGCTAATATAGCCGCAATAGCCACATCGCTCTGTGCTTGCATAATCGCAGCATTCTGTGGCATAAGATATCTCGTCCGTCGATGCTGTTATCCACGGAAACGGCGGTCCCTGCAGAACTACACTACACAATATTATATTCACACAGCAAACTCTACACAGTGTAAGTTTATTGATGCTATAACAACATGGATGTTAAATTATTGTTAATGCAGTCAGGAAAGTTTTGGAACTTGCAAAAGAAAGGATGGTATTTTTGGACTCATTTTTGGCTCAAGGGTCTCGACAATTTTTCAACAATAAAGCTCTCGACCGACCAGTAGCAGTGCTGCTAGCTCGCCTTTGCTTTGACATCTGTAATTTACAAAAATACAGTATAGATACCAATTTTTTCCCTTTTTCAAGAAATAGCGTTATCTGTGGGTAACTTCATTTGGCTATTTGTAGACGAAACGGTAACGGCGACGTAAGTTATCTGTAGAGCAGCATGTAGGATTAGTTCGACTTATTCTGAGTGCAAGTTGATTCGTAATGTATTTTTCTCCTCCTTTACTCTCGATTTCTTTTGCTGGTGCAAGCACTAATCTTAATTAATGCGCCTTCTGCATTTGATCTCGAGTATATTAGGTCGTCCCATAAGTCTTTCCATTTTTGCGTTTTCGCTGTAATAAGTCATACACTTATTATCCTAAATAGATCTCAGGATACCATTCGATATAGAAAAGCAAGCTCTAAAAATGACATTTATGCCTTTGTACCAACTTTAATCCACCTCGTGTTTGAATTCGAATCTAAGAAGTTTCGAATGCCCACTGAAAATTTTTTTTGTATTTCCTTTCAAAAAAGTCCTCAGATCTCTCACTCGCTCACGCATACACACTCCACATCAGACACTTATATATAGTTGCTGTATTTTTTTCAGCTAAAAATAAAGAAAGTGAAAATTTCCAAAAAAGTACAGCAACAGCACATATGAGTGTCTGATGTAGAGTGTATATGCGTATGCGAGTGAGAGATCTGTAGGACGTTTTGAACGAAGACATAAGAAAATTTTACTTTTCTGGGCATCCCAAATATTTTAGGTTCTGGTTTTAGACTTAAAAATGATCGAAGCTGGTGCAAAAGCCAAAAGCATAAATGGCTTTCAAAGCTTGCTTTGCTTTATCGAATAGTATCTTGATGTTTAATTGGAATAAGAATGTATGACTTCACAGCGAAAACTCGAAAATAAAAAAACTTGGCAACCTAATTTTCATATTTTTCAGTCAGTTAAATTCATATTGAACCCTCATCCACACTATTGTAATATTTAGGTAGCCGATTCTATTTTGATGAGAGAAATCATATACGCAGCATGGTGATTACTGCTAGTATACAGCCAAACAATGAGCAAGGCGGACCACAATTTGTTGGTGGGTACTCAAAGAGACTTATAATAGCTTACAAGTTTTATTAATTGGCTGCTGTTTACTTATTATTTGTCACGACATCGACCCCACAAATATTCATTCGTATCGACTCGTAATTTCATAACTGCGGTTGCACATAATGCTAAATGTTATTAAAATTCTGAACTTTTGTGTTGCACATATTTTGGCAAACTGTACAATGTCTTTATTTGGGCTTAGAGAGAAATTATCGACGTATAGCAGAAAAACTTGAATTTAAGCCAACAAAGTTCTGGACTTCGCGCCCTAAGTGCATATTGTGCGGCTGCACAATAATCTTGCCCAACTTGGCATAACAAAGAAAATGCCACCAAAACTCTTTTTTTGCAAATAAAGATGCGGTGACTATTATGACGGATTCTTTTAGGATTCGTTCTCGAACCTTCCATGCTCGAGCCTGATCGCCCTGATCCATTGAGCCCTCCTCGGTACGAAGATGCTCTGAAAGCAGTAAGCGCTCCACCACGATACGAAGAGCAATCTACAGGATGTAAGCAGTTGCGAAGATTTCTGATCATCCGCAAACCAAGACATTGCCAAATTTAGCCAGTACTCCGGTAAGAAGCATAGAGTTACCGCCTAGTGGAAGAACAACAGCAAGAATTGAATCATCAGTCGATGAGATGTCTTCTATGGATGGTGAAGTAGAAGATGTGACATCACCAAGGCCGTCGCGGAGTACTCGTTAGAATTTTTAAGAACGTCGAAATATAGTGAAATATACAGTGATGCAGTATGATGCTCAATAGCTTGTTAGGGATAAGGCTATCAGTTTGAATTTAGAGTAATTTTATGGTCCTGTAAAGCTTTGACATACTTCTTTTCATGGAATAACTGATTGATCTCTCCTATCTAATCTCATATGTTATGTGATACTTGTATAAATCTCTAATAAAGTTCCCAAAAGATCTCCATTTACAACTAGTTTTACCAACCCTAAAAAGCGAATTCGGACGAAATAGATTGCATTGACTATGAATGATTTTGCACTATGAACTTGGCGGAATTTTTTTCAGTCACATAAGCTTCAAGGGATCATAATTTATGGCTTCTCTAATAATTTAGCTTGAAGAAGGTACAAAGTTTTTTGCTTGAAGAGATATCATCCTTTCTTAGCGAGGCTGCTAATATACTATATTTCATCCTCTTTGATGTCACGTGAAGATTTTGTGTGCTTATTGGGTTCCAGAAAAACAGATTCCTTGCTGAGATTATTATTCTGCATTATCATAGGCAGATGAGGCCTGACTAATTCCTTCTTCTGGGCATTTTTGCGACATTGCTTGATAATCTCCTTAAGAGAAAAAGATGTCTTACTGAAGCGTTTGCCAAAATGCAGAAAACGAATTATCGGATTTGCAATTTGATTGCAATCGATCTTCAGCAATTTTAGTATCATTCGTTGAGCGCACGGACTGGACATGACTGCGGAGCACGCGCCGCGCAGTAAAACGCTTGCCCCAGTACAAATTCGCCGTTGCACAAATCGCGCTCTCTCAACATTTCAGCAGCGCCGCGCGCGGTCCGTAGCGTTTGAGCAGTCCTCGCGGTCAGCGAATCGACGATACAGTATGTGCCAATTACGTACTACTCCCTTTCGCGTAAAGTGCGCATGTGCAATGCGAGAGCCTTGCGTGCAGACCGGCGATCGATAAGGCTAATTTGAATAGCAAAGCCATACGCGCGCGAAATCTTGGCACTTGCGGAAAAGGGAGCAGGTGATTGACACCTACTATAAATTATATTTTGATCTTAGGTAAGAAGATTTAGGAATTTTTTCATGCATAGCAGTGGCTGTGAACTTTTGTGCAGTTTATGATCTCAAAGCTGAGATAGTGCGCAGAAAGTCGTGCTTGAGAAAAGGCAACGAAATCCGATGTGAAGTCAGCTACAGGCTTCAGATTATTGTGTTTGTTTCAGCAAATCATTGGATCACGTCAGGACAGTCTGACCATTAGCAAGCCCGATTAACGTTGCATGTAGCCTCCGCGAGCTAGACGATTTTTTTGACATTGAAAAATTTGTTCAAGATGATTACTCTTACATCTTGAGAATGTTTGAGATGCCTGAACTTGAGCACTGCAATGATACTCAGACAATCGCAAAGGACTTCTGGGAAAAAGGCAGCGTCTAGGCAGATCTGGACCTATGGGGATTTTAGGTGGAAAGTAATTTTGGGGCCCTAGCTAAAGCACTGCCCAAGCGGCAGCGCAGGTGAATCACTAACTGCTGAGACATGCGCCTCCAAAGTGGACCCCAGGATCGTTTCGCATGGATTCACGGCAGTTTCGCGCGAGGACCCACGCTTTGTGCCATGAACCATGCGAATTACGATCCTGGGATCCAGTTTCGAGGGGAACATCTCAGCCGTTAGAGCACTACCTGAGCTGCTAGTTGGGCAGTGGCTCAGCTAGGGCTCCAAAATTACTACCCCCGTGAGATCCCCATGTGTCCAAACTTGCCCTGGACACTGCCTTTAATGGGCCATATGGGTAGCTCCCGCCCTACTTGGCAGCTCCAATAGGAGTCTACCCCCGGAAGTTCTAGAAGTTCAATTTTTGCCGGAAGTCATTTGCGATTGTCTGAGTATGAAGGAAGACGTAAACATTGAAACTTTATGCCCATAAGAAAAGCCAATACTGTTATAAAACTGTGGTCTCTTAAGAAGTCAGAAGCCGATAGACTCTGTAGTGTAAGCTGCTTTCAATTTATCTACAACGAGGACTCCTTGACCTTGATTTATGATTGCTGTGGAACTAATTCCTACGCTGATTAAACAATGAGCTGGCAAAAACTAATCCATATGATGGGCAAAAACTACGAGTAGTTTCAATAATCTTATCTAGCACTGATTTGAAACACAACGAAGCTATTTATCATCCCAAGCAGCCTAATTGACGAACGTACATTTTTGAAGTTGTTGCGTGTATCGATGATTACTTCTGTTCTCAGATAATCGCCGGGGGCAGGCGGTCCGCAAACTCGCGCTTTTCTGCAGGCGGTCAGCAGAATTTTGGGGCGTGGCCAGACCTTCAGCGGGCGGCATTTCCTTTACGGTCGCGTATTCTGCCAGCGGGCAGCAATACAGCATTTTTTGCAAGCGCTCGGCAAATAATTTCTTTCAGCGAGCGCTGGCCAAACTTTCAGCAAGCGCTCGGACTCTTTTTAAGCATTTTCGGGCGTACGTCGAGCGAAGGTAAGACTCTGTGTGGCAGAGGTGTCACCGTTGGTTTAATTCCTCAAGTTTGAGGTACTTTCTCCCAGCGGAAAGTACCTGGGGGTTGCGCGGTCCTCCACAAAGGACCGGGCGGCCCCCGAAATTTTTGCATATTCTCGCGGAAAGTCCGCGAGAATGCGGCCACTGCGCCGCAGCTAATCCATAAAGAAACCGCGATTGTTCTTCAAGCATTCGTCTTTAATTTCGCCAACTTTCTTCCAAATCTGCAAGCGGGCGGCAAAAAATCAACGAACTATTTTTCCGGTGCGCGCTTGCTCAAAATTCGCATGGCCGCCTGCCCCCGGCGGTTATCTGAGTTAGAACACATGAACTATAATAGCTACTCAGACAAACGCTGGGGGCAGGCGGCTCGCAAACTCGGGCTTTCTTGCAGGCGGTTAGCAAAATTTTGGGGCCTGGCCAAACCTTCAGCGAGTGGTACTTCCTTTACTGTCAATGTCTGCCAGCGGGCAGCAACACAGGATTTTCCTGCAGGCACTCGTCATAAACTCTTTCAGCAAACGCTGGCCGAACTTTCAGCAGGCGCTCGGACTCTTTTTCCGCAGTTTCAGGCTTACGCCGAGCACAGGTAAGACTCTGTGTTTCAGAGGTGTCACCGATGGTTTAATTACCCGAGTTTGGGGTACTTTCTCTCAGCGGAAAGTACCTGGGGACTGCGCGGTCCTCATTAATTTTACATATTCTTGCAAAGAGTCCGCGAGAATGCGGCCACTGCGCCGTTGCTAATCTATAAATTAAAAAAAATATAAAAGTAAGAATAAAATAAGGAAACCGCGATTGTCCTCCGCGCATACGTCTAAAACTTCGCCACAATTCTTCCAAATATCTGCAAGAGGACCGCAAGAAATTTGCGAGCTATTTCTCAGGTGCCCGCCTGCCCATAAATCGCATGGCTGCCTGCCCCCGGCGATTATCCGAGTGGGCGTATGGTTGAGATAGATTCGCTTAGTTTTGATATATAGGGCTTATCAAATTTAGTGTCGTTTGCACCGGCATCTCCTTCGCGCTGGACTCTGCGTCTCTTCCACAGGGCTGCTCTCTGAGCACTTTCCCAGGGCGAGCGTGGGAAAGGCGGAGGATCAATCGATTAGAAGTGATTAGGGAGCATGAAGAGACGCAGAGCCCAGCGCGAAGATGGAGATGCTGGTGCAAACGACACTCAATTTGATAAGCCCTATACTTTTTTGCCTGGCCTCTACGACCATCGTTATCTTTGCTATTTTTCGATGTTTTACCTTCTACTTTAGAGAATCCCTCATGCAGTGTTATCGGTCTTGAGCAAACATTTGTGCATTAGTGCTTAGTTCGATTTTTATCTCTTTATCAAGCTTCACTTCCATCATTCACTTTTCTCATGATGATGGACACGCTTCGATAGAGTTTTTTTCCAGCACATCTTCAGTTGTAGTGTCTGTAAGCTCGCCTCGACTTCTTCGATGATTCTTGCTGACACACGGTGACTGCAGGCGCAGATCTCTCGTCGCGGTTCGTCATCATCTTGGGGAACGGTTTCTCACTGCTGTATGACTACTCATTCTATACTTCCTTGAAATTCTTGGCGTGCCGTCTGACTACTGTGGAGAGGCTGACGAAGAATGTTATCATGAGATGCCCGTTTTGTGCTGATATTAGAAGCGAAGCACCGTATCGACCATCATGTCGACCGCACCAAAATTTGAGTGCTTCCGACATGGTCCCGAATAATGTTGATGTGCCGTCTTGAAGCGAGGTAACGATTTTTTAAAAATTACTTCGCCAAGATGGATTCGACCAGCTTTGACACCACACTTTAAAAGCGTCACTGTTACCTCCGACAACATTTGAGCGAGAAATTGAGCACTGCAGTGGTAGGAACGGACCCTAGAACAGTGCTCACGAAAATCGCCAGAAATAAAATTTTGGCGTCCTAGAAGGACAAGTGTCAGAAGGTGAGCCTCTCAGTAGTTATCTACTTAGGGAATAATGGAATTAATGGAATTCTAATGGAATTACTAACCCTCTCATAGCCCATACATTTTTATCTAAAAACCTCGACTTCTGAACACTGTAGAACTGATCCTATTGATGAAACGATGAGCTAGCATGAATATGCTTCTTATTCTGACTGCAAGAATCACGAATACATGTAGTTATGAGCTCTGTTTGAAACACATCAAAGGCATTCATATCAGCCTAGCTGGCAAATGTATACATATTTAAATTGCTGCGTTTATCATGTTTACTTGTATTGCAACACATGAGCTATATGTAATAGCTATTTGGAGACAGACAACATGGCCGCATTGGAGCATTGTAGAATGTTGATGATAACAGGCGTAGTAGGTAACAACAGACTATTGCGGCAGGCCATGTTTACGGCATGAACTTGAAGGTACGTCGATGAGAGGTAGAGAGCTTGGAAGGAAGTGCCGATGTCAGCAAGTGCGTCAAAACGAGAATAACTCCAAATTC